CACGCGCACACACACACACGCACACACACACACACACACACACACACACACACACGGCTTTTCTCAGGGCAGTCATACCATTGGGTATCCATGGCTGAGTGAGTGTGTAGATTGGAGTTAGCGGCTGTGACAGATTAGTTTCGCAGACTTCTTTTTTTTCTTTTTTTTAAGGTTGTGAGGGGGGAAAGAGAGACAGAGACACACAGAGAGAGAGAGAGAGAGAGAGAGAGAGAGAGAGAGAGAGAGAGAGAGAGAGAGAGAGAGAGAGAGAGAGAGAGAGGTGCATACCTGTGTCTCAACGCAGAGCTCGAGCTCAGCTCTCGCACCTGCACATTTATCATCGTCAAAGTTGTAATTTTTCAGAGCTGACATATAGGTCATCATTTCCATGAAGCAAGGGAAGTTCTTCTTCTGCTGCATGCTCATCAACCGAGGATTTCGTAGAAGCTTCTCCAGCACCTTCTTTGTCATTCTGACCGATACCAAGATGATGCACCTGGACAGCAAAAGCAACTTGGCCGGCGCTGAAACGACGAAGAATATATAATGACCAAAGTGCGCGCTGCAGAATCTATGTAGGTATGTATGTCCTGCACAACCAGGCAACAAGACAAGATCCTCAAAAAAGTCACATATTAGCAAATGCATGCGCAGTGTGCACAGACATCCTGAATGAAGGCTGGCATCTGAAAAAGTACTCAGTTGCGAGCACACAGACGCTCTACGATAATAATTCATCAATTACTAGAATTACTAGAATTACTGGAATTACTAGAATTAGCCTTTTCTTGCTCCATCCAAAATCGTCCTTATGACTCTGAAAGCCCTCGGTTTTCCGTCCGCAGTTCAGTTGGTTGTTTTTTTAACTTAAATGGCCACTACCTTTCGCAGTGTTGGAAAAAGTGGGAATATAGCCTTATAGTACCTACACCACATTCTTTGGGGACTGGGCCGAAAGCAGGCCGTCGCTCATAAATTTCGTCGGTGGTCTACTTTTCATTTCCCTCAGACGAGGGGAACGACTTTTTTTTTTTTTTTTGCATACTGAACAGATTAGCGTTATGTCAGCATCTACATTTTTATGTACACAAAGACGTGAGTTATACTGAACAGTCCCATACCATTTTCAAATCTACTTTTTCGAGAAGGATAATCGACTCTCTCTCTCTCTCTCTCTCTCTCTCTCTCTCTCTCTCTCTCTCTCTCTCTCTCTCTCTCTCAGGATAATCGACTCTCTCTCTCTCTCTCTCTCTCTCTCTCTCTCTCTCTCTCTCTCTCTCTCTCTCAGGATAATCGACTCTCTCTCTCTCTCTCTGTGTGTGTGTGTGTGTGTGTGTGTGTGTGTGTGTGTGTGTGTGTGTGTATGCATTTTTGAGCTCTCTCGGTTTTGGTGCGCATGTGTGTGTGGCACTGCATGCCTATGATAAGTGGCCACCCCTACAGACCGGACAGGAGCGGTTCGGGTATGGACTGTGGAAGCACCGCATCCAATTTTTGCAGTCGCAGTTGCTGCATCGAATGGCGCGGCGCAGACAGATGTCACAGGCTACGTGGCTCCTACATGCTAGCGTGTGTGGTGTTTTAAAAGACCCCAGATTCTCTCTGTCATTCCCTTCACAAACCATCACAAGCCATACGTAAAACAAACGGTTAGAGATGGGCAAAATAATATAAAACAGTATTAAAACCAGATGACCCGTTGCGGCTGCGCCCGCAAAAACAGAAAACTAAAACGCACAAAAGAAAGAAAAAGCGTAAGGAACTCTTGAGGCTGAGGGCGCCGGTTCGAATCAGCACGGAGGAGGTCCTGTGGCTGATAAAGTACAGACTGCCCTATCATATGCCGCTTCTTTCACAAAAACAAAAAGAAGAGCCTGAGAGCAGACAGAAATCCGCGTGAAAGAAATAGAAGGGAATACCACCAAATCATTTTGGTTTCTTTATCTGCGAGTGTTTTGTTTGGGATGCCGCTACCTTTGCAGCATCCTTTTTTTTTTTTTTGTGCTGTGCAAGAACTGTGAACTTTTATGAGAAAATCCTGTCCGTTGTCCCGTTGACGTTTTTGCTAAAGCCTCCGATTCCGACTTTAGTTTGCTATCTTCTCTTTATATGTTTGTGATAAAGCGATCTTGCATGTATGCCCCGTGCTTACTTGTTGAGTTTTGAGTTATAACTCTATGTGTGCAAGTGCATGCGCGTGTGGGTGAGTCTCACTTTGGTGGGATCCGATCATGTCATTGATGATGATTGGCCCGGGGAAGTTGCTGGAAGTCGCCTCCAACTATAGGAGTGCCAGCCACTGATGTGAAGCAGGTTTTGCATTCTATGAATGAAACAATCAGCATTCAATCTGCTTCGCACTTGCTCTTCGCGAGTGGGTGACTTGTCACACCGGGAGTAGCGTTGACATGAAAGCCATAATGCCGGGCGTTCATTTTGCGACATTGCCTGGAAGGCAAAAGGCAAAGAAGTGAAAGGGCCTTTTCCCCAGGACCCATGCAGAAGAAACGAAGTAGCACGTGCCCTCTCTCTCTCTCTCTCTCTCTCTCTCTCTCTCTCTCTCTCTCTCTCTACCACCTCCCCCCTTGACTTCGAGCTTGGAACCCTTTACTCCAACCCGACCTTCCCCTAACCCCGCCTCCCTCTCCCCCCCCACAACCTGTCAATCCCCTGATGAGTCGGTGAATAGTCCGATTGCGCCACGTGGCTGGAGTTGTGTATAGAGAACATGACAACACACCAAACAAAAAAGAAAAAAAAAGAAAAAGGCGAAACAGCCTACCCGAGCCTTTAACCTTCCCGGCTGCTGCCGACTTCCC